GCAATGTAATGTTATATAAAAGGCATATAATTTGTAAAACCATATACAAGAATATTCTACTCATAAATCAAAGTCATTGCTTAATGTATTTAATATGTATGCAAAATAGTAACACAAAAATAAAACTATTTTTTATTTAATGCCAATTATTTGAGTGAATAATAAAGTTATCATTCATTGAATACTAAACACAAGATTAACGAAACAAAACTTTTACGATTTGATGATCACTTCTAACATACCATTTGTAGAGTTGTTTTGTCGATACAGTTCTGTCTGAAAGTCGACGACAATGGGATCAGGCGTTTGGTGATAACGTTCATCCGATGAGGAGGAATAGGGAAGGCGTTTAGATCTACCATTGGATGCGTGTTTGACACGAGGATTGTTATTATGGACAACATTGGCGTCAATGGATTGGTGAACAAGTGGCTCATTGTTCTCGTCGATCACTTGATCCGACAACTGTCCCGTTGTCCACACCATTGGACACAAACACCACAGACATATGAACAGCGCGTAAAACAATGAATAGCGCATAACTTGAGAAGAGTTAGTATTATGGGATCAACTGAAGTGATAATCACTGCCACATAGTTAACGAATCGCTGGTCACTATCTGTACAATCAATACAATAATTGGCTCTCAATTTATGTTACATTGAATTTCAAACTATTGTTAAATGAATGACAAAAAAAGTGTTCAGAAATTTCTTAAAGGATTCAAAAGGATAGAGAAAACTCTTGCCAACGACTACTGCATTGGCTTAACGTTAAGACCTATTGTGTTGAATACGAGTCGGAGTGAACATCGCATACCATTCTCTTCACATTTATAATATACTATACGTTAGATAACAGGGTATGTAAAACACATACACAGATGCATACCTGCGCTCTCGAGGGATGCCTCTCTCCCTCCAGCTATCTCTCTCTCTCTCTCTCTCTCTCTCATGTCACTCAACAATAGGTTAACTGTAAGATATTTGGCCACAAAACTATAGTGAGATAGCGGTTGTTATTCAGTTGCTATGATATCGATATTGACTTATTTATAATAAATGAATATNTCTCTCTCTCTCTCTCTCTCTCTCTCTCTCTCTCTCTCTCTCTCTCTCTCTCTCTCTCTCTCTCTTATTGTATTGAATAAGTGAATGAAGAGCAAAGATAGAGAAAGACAGAGAAAAAACTTTTTTGGGCTAATGTGTGGACACCTGTTAGGAAATATTTGGCACTTTTTTATCATTGAAGTAAATTGTTTTCTTAAACGGATGTGAGATTTACTGAAATATTATATTAAACTCTTATTTTATGTACGATTTGACAAAATATTGTTTATTTAGGCTTAACTCTTAAGCCATTTCAATGACAAGAATGTATTGCATTATATTATTATTCTGTATAATATGTAAATAAGTGATAAGTGTTTACAATAAAAGTGTTGTATAAGAATATTCTTAGCTAACATTGAATATTTATTGAAATTCGTGTGTTTTGCATGGAATATATGAGATATCAGTATTTTATTGCATAATTCATTAAAACTATGCAACACTTGTTATGCAAATAAATAATTAATCCGCTTTTTAATCAAATATTCATTTATTATAAATAAGTCAATATCGATATCATAGCAACTGAATAACAACCGCTATCTCACTATAGTTTTGTGGCCAAATATCTTACAGTTAACCTATTGTTGAGTGACATGAGAG